GCCCCGGCCGCTCGCCCGGAAACCAGCGCGCGCGTCACTTCCCGCCGGGCGGGGGCGGGGAACGGCGTCGCTCGCGCTTCCCGCCCCTCCTCCTCGCCAACGGCCGAGGCGCGGGCGGGAGCCCGTGGCCCCGCCCACCCGACAGCGACGAGGGAGCGCGCGGTCCGCATGCAGATCAAGCCACGCCTCCCCGGCTGAGCCACGCCCCTCGGCCTCACCTCCCTGCAGGGGCGGGGATGTGTTGCAGCACGTGCCCTGCGCGTGGCGCCTGGAGCAGAGCTCTGCGGGAGCTTTGCGGGGGGGGCAGCGCCACCCATTCCTCCCCCCGGGTAGGCTTGGTAGGACTTGATTTGTATCAGAGCCTGTCAGCTTCCCCACAGCTGGAAAAAACATCTGCATCAGTTACAGCCCCAGATTACAGAGAAGCAGCAACTCAGGAACATGCCACGCCATTTAAGGGTACTTGTTATATTTTGACAGCGTGTGTTTACAAGGAAAAGTGCTTTATAAATGTCTGTCATTAAATAACTGTCTGACCCCCTCCCATAATTTCCTTTAACTTAAAACTTAAATAGGTAAGAATCTAAAAAATTGCCTTAATTAAACATGTGTCAAAATTTATTGTAATAAAAACAAATTCTGCCAAGTCCCCTCATGAACAAAGTAACCAAAAACTTCATAAAGGTACAATTAGGGCTACTCAGATGCAGTCCTCACTTTTCATTTTTAAAAGTCATTTTACTATGGAAAATGAAATGTAAACTAGGCAGCACTACCTTACCACGGATGCCATACATTCAGGCTGCATCTAGACTGGCAAGTTTTTCCGCAAAAGCAACTGCTTTTGCGGAAAAACTTGCCAGTTGTCTACACTGGCTGCTTGATTTTGCACAAAAGCACTGACGTTCTACTGTCTGAAATCAGTGCTTCTTGTGCAAATGCTTTGACATTCCCGTTCGGGCAAAAGCCCTTTTCCAGAAATGTTTTTGCGCAAGAGGGCCAGTGTAGACAGCTAAAAACTGTTTTGCGCAAAAAAGCCCCGATGGCGCAAATGGCAATCGGGGCTTTCTTGCGCAAAACCGTGTCTAGATTAGCACGAATGCTTTTGCAGAAAAGCGTCCGTGCCAATCTAGATGCTCTTTTCCACAAATGCTTTTAACAGAAAAACTTTTCCGTTAAAAGCATTTGCGGAAAATCATGCCAGTCTAGACGTGGTTTTGCATCACTGCCTTCATCTCTTCATTTTAAGTACAATTGTATATTACCTAATGGTGGCTAGTAATTTGGACACACTGTCTATATAGATAAATAACTGAAGGCACATGAAATCTCCACAAATATGAAACTCCAGATCTCATTCCGCAAATGGACAAAAGAAAGGAGGGGCTTCTGGTTAAAGACAGGACTGAGTCGGGAGATGTGTTCTGTTTTTGCCGCCATGCTGCTGCCCAACCTTGTGCAAGTGACTTCACATTTCAATCCCTCAGTTGCCTCATCTTTAAATATATATTCCTCTTTTGTAAGTGACCAAGAGCCACAAATAAGCTCTTAAAGAGCTTAATGTTATTTTACTAAACATTTACTTTAAGTTAGTAATTCATCATTTTTCTAAGCCAATATCTTAATGCCAGCTCCCCTCTCAACTGCTGTAAAAGTGCATCTCTGATGGGTATATCAAATATATATTTTATGCTAAGCACGATAAAAGTTATAGGAAAAACAAATTTTCCAAACTGCAAGGGAAGCACCTGGAAGCAGACTGTGACTCAGGAGGGGTCAGAGATAGCTTTGGATTCAGGACCAACCCGGATGGACTTTCCTGTAACTCTGTTCCCTTGTTTACCAAGGACTTTCTTCATTGTGTTCCTGACTATTAATAAATCCTTCTGCTTTTTACAACACTGTCTGAAAGTCACTCCAGATTAAGGAATTTAGGGGTGCATTGCTCCACTTGGGTGTGCAAGGTTTCCCCAAGAGTCCAGTTCAAAGAGACTCACTGAGGGGAACTTAGGATGTGAAACTGGGGTACTGAAGGCTCATAGGTTTGGGCCCAAGAGGCAAGGTGGTAATATAACATTGCAAATACACAAAGTGCTATTATTGTGCAATGTCAGGCCCAGCTACCATAGGATGTGAATTAAAGAAGAATTAAGTTTTCATAAATAGACTTTTATTACAAACTCATAAAACCAAAAATAACTGTAACTGAATGAAACTCTACAAATACAGGGAAAATAACTTTTGAAGGGGAAAGAATAGCCATTCTCATGTCACACACAAAATGTGTCTCATTCATCAGCATATATGCAGTTCTGACTGCGTGTACTCTCCCTCAGGGTGATGTGGTAGAACTGCAATAACACAGAAACATGTGGAGAATGTGGGGGGCAGGAAGTGTAGAGAGGTCTCAGAATGCAGTTATCAATAGACTGCAACGGGAGGCAAACCAGGGTTACTTGCACCTGAAGTCTCCAACATGTCCGTCTGGCGCTGAGAGCGCTAATATGAACTGCTGCACGTTTCTGTCCTTTTCTTCTTTGTTTCTCCTCTCTGCACTAACCCTTTCCACTCTCCCCGCAAAGGTGCTTCTGCAAGCCCTCTACTCAGTGTGTGCAGCACCAGAGGCTGGCAGGATCTCTTGGAACAGGTTGACCCCACATCCCTTTTCTTCTGATCTGAGCTGCTCCAGTAGTGTGGATGGAGGAACCCTCAAAGCCACATTTCCAGCTGCAAAAAGCACAATGCACAGAGATATTATGAGTGTTTTCACTCCCCTTGATCCACACAAGCCACAAGTAGGGATGTTAGTGTCTAAGCCGAATAACCGTTTACCCGATTGTTAATCTATAAGCAATTGCCTGTCCCAATTAACCACAACACACAAACACTCTCTCTTTCTCCTTCCCTCCCTTTAAAATTTGCACCAGCAGGCTGGTTCAGTCCCAACACACAGGTCCGAGTTTTAAATGAAGAGCCCGCAGGGAAGCTGCCTGCCACACTGTGCTGCTGCCTCTAATGCAGAGGCAGCAGCATGGGTCAGCAGGCAGAAACTGGTCTATGCAGAGAGCTGGTTTAAAAAACAGCTCCCACCTGCCTCTCTGCACTGTTGACACTGCATCAGAGATAGCACCAAAGGGTGTTGGCAGCCCCTGTCCACAGAGTGCCTGAGCTCCCAGCACGAAGCATCTTTATGTTTGTATGCTGAAACCAAAGTAAAAGCATAATGAATTTGCACATCTCAGCCTGCTGAAAATCATGCCCTTATGCTTCCCAGTGCACAGGGGGTATTAAACTCTTGCATTCCTTTAAATAGTCATGCAAACATATTTGTGCCACTGCCCAGAAGCTACCCAATCATCTCTTCAGGAAGACCAGGAACTTCCTATACTAGAAAAAAAACCACTATTGATACTCATTGTCTGGTTTTATTCATGGAATCTAGCTGCTTTATGAAGTCTTATATTTTTGTTCCCATTTCCTCACCGGAGCTCCCTCTGAGCCAGACCGAGTAAAGACTCAACTTTGCTTGAAATCAGGCTTCTTCTCTGTGTAATTCTGATCAGGCAGCTGAATGAAGTCAAACCACCGTGTGTCGGAGTTAAAAGAAAACATGGACTTTATTTTTTAGCTTGTCCCTACTTCTGCCGCAGATGTGGTTTCCAAGGAGTAATGGGTCCGAAGGACACAGCAAGCTAGTCTGCTGCTAGTTATTTATTGATCCAACAAGAAGAGCAGGAACTATTTAAGCTCTATCCAGACAAGGGAACCCAAAAGCTAGTCAGCTGGCATAAACTGGTACTATTCCACTGAAGCAAATAAAGCTGCACCTGCTCTTCCACGAACAAATTCTGTTGATCTCAGGGACATGACTGGCACACCAACAAAGACTTCTTTCTTATATCCACCCACCACAGAAAAGTCCGGCTCTCTCTGACTTCTAACCTTTTATTTACCGTTACCCTATAGCAGTCCTACAGTATCTTCCAATAAAAATGCCTACAACTTAACTCTGGTCATGTAAGGATATTTTTTAATGAAATGGCAAACTAAAAAGGATTAAGATTAAATAAATAAGTGAAAATCTTGTTTCTTACTTGCTGGATATCCAAGTGCTCTGGGATTTCTAGTAATTCAATTTGTCATTCTTGCACCTGTGCAATAAAGGATTCTAATGTCTTCAGTATCTCAATAGTGAGTGTACAACAATCACCTGGCGATGGACAACATAATGAGAAAGAGATACAAACCATACTATTCTCCTAGTAGATAAGGCAATAAATCCATCATTGGGGCTTGCACACCCCTCAGCACTGCTTTTCATCACACGAGACAGATCACCTGTCTCTACAGACTTAAACTTATGAGGCAGGTCTGCCTTGTAGGAGATGGAAGAATAACTGAAAACTAGAAGTTCTGGAAAAGTTTTCATGACAGTCCTTCTCCTTTATACTCTTTGTGGTAGGGTGAGGCCGCTCTGACACTGTCACAGATCCGCCAGGCAGAAAACCACCACAATGCTCCCTTCCATAATCAATTCAGCAAAACCTGGCCCCTGAGTATCCATGATTGCAGACGCTGTCTAAAGATTTGTACATGTTACAGCACACATTTTTGAGCTTTTCTGGCTCTCTCAGTACCCTAAACAGAGCACTGCTGAGAGCAAGGCAAGAGAAAAGCCTGATGGACTATATGAAACCCTTCTGGTCTTTATCAGCTGATTTAAGTAGACGAGCATGGGGGACAAAGGCCAGGATTCCTGGGTTCTATTGCTGGCTCTGCCACCAACTAAGGCCTAATAAAAGGAAGTTCTTCTTCACACAGCGTGTAGTCAACCTGTGGAACTCCTTGCCAGAGGAGGCTGTGAAGGCTAGGACTATAACAGAGTTTAAAGAGAAGCTAGATAATTTCATGGAGGTTAGGTCCATAAAAGGCTATTAGCCAGGGGATACAAATGGTGTCCCTGGCCTCTGTTTGTCAGAGGCTGGAGAAGGATGGCAGGAGACAAATCGCTTGATCATTGTCTTCGGTCCACCCTCTCTAGGGCACCTGGTGCTGGCCACTGTCGGCAGACAGGCTACTGGGCTAGATGGACCTTTGGTCTGACCCATTATGGCTGTTCTTATGTTCTTATGTTGGTCTCCACTTAAAATTAAGGGTTAACATAGCTATGTTGCTCAAGGACATGAAAAATCCACACTCCTAAATGCTATAGCTATACCAACCTAAACCTCATGGAAGATGCAAATATTGTCACTAGGTGACGTATATTTTTATGACAAGAGGAAAAAAAAACCTTTCCTCAGCAGATTCTGCATCTATGGGACTCAGGGATTATGCCAGGGTAGCTACAGGTATGTCAGCATAGCCTCTGCAGATACTCTCAGTGAGTCACCATGAGCAAGTCAATGCATCTGCTTCAGTTTCCCACCTGCAAATATGAGAATAAGATGTAGCTGTAGTAAAAACTATGGATTCCTAATCCACTTTATATTTTGGCTACATCTAAACTACAGTGGGGATCCACACTCCAAAAATCAATCCACCGATGGTCAATTTAGCCAATCTAGTGATGACCTGCCAAATCAACTGCAGACCTCTGCACTCTACCCTGACAAGAAGAGTAAGGTAAGTTGATAGGAAAGTTTCTCCCATTTACACCCTCCCCCACACCTGTGTGGACCCCACAGTAACTCACCTTAAGGTATGTCAACTCCAGCAACATTATTCACATAGCTTAAGGTGCATACATTCGGTTGACTTTTTGTGGTAGTGTAGACATTGGCTTAGACGAGTCTAATGGAAAAAGCATTTTGGTTAATTTTACATTGTAGAACATGATTTTTTTCATTTGCCAGTGGGAAGCATCATACAGTGACACACTTCTAAGCTAACAGACCACGGCGAAGAAGCAGAAATACAAATCTTACATCAAATTCTCCACTTTTCTTCTGAACAGCTTGCAGCGTGTTGAAAAACGTAACATTTTTCTCTAACATTCCCACAGGTCAGTCTAGAAGAGAAATAACGGAGAAATAAGGACAAGATGACTATATAAGAAGTGTATCGATAATTTTTCGAATTGGGAATATTAATAATTCTGACCCCTTCTTGCTTATTACAGCCAAGGATTCACACACTCAATTGACCTATGATGTTGGGGAACATCCTGCCCAAAACATCATTACTGTCTAAAACGTTGCTCCAAATAGCAATACTGTCTAAATGCTGCTAACATGAGGATCAGGGAAGGAGCAGTGCTTCTCCCCTACAATAGTATCAATTTTATTACAATTACGATGTAATTAAAGCTTCTACTAGAATGCGCGCGCAGTGGGCACAGAGAGGCTAGCTGTGGCTGCCCATGCAATCCTATCTTGCATTGCCGGGGCTTCCCCCATGCACTAGTAATGCTCGCTCGCATTCTTTTCCAGAAATGGTCCACATTTTTTATTTTAAATAAACAGAAACATTTTTCTGTGCTGCCCTTGGGGGCCACGTGGAGCGGCTCAGAACGGAGCGATGCCCCGTCAGGCTCCCACAGCCCAACCTAAAGTCGATTAAACCCCCGGAAAAAAGCGAATCCTCGCCCCACCTCCAGCTGCGATTGGGGCTTCTGTTTGTTTCTGTTCATACAGTTTGCTGCAGTTTTCCATCCCGGAGGACCTGCGTGAAGGTGGTCCGACCAGAGATACGGGGATCGATTTTTAAGAGTAAGAGGTTTTGTTTTTAAAGCAGGGGTGAGGAACCTAATACCCCAGCTCACGTGAGTGTGGCCCTCGAGACTCAAGGTTCCCACACTAACGCTCTAGCTCCCCTCCAGATTGGTGATAGAAATGTAGCCGTGTTAGTCTGGGGTAGTTGAAGCAAAATGCAGGACAATGTAGCACTTTAAAGACTAACAAGATGGTTTATTAGATGATGAGCTTTCGTGGGCCAGACCCACTTCCTCAGATCAAATAGTGGAAGAAAGTAGTCACAACCATATATACCAAAGGATACAATTTAAAAAAATGAACAAATATGAAAAGGACAAATCACATTGCAGAACAGAAGGGGGATGCGGGGGGGTGGGAAGGGGGAGGAAGGAAGGTAAGTGTCTGTGAATTGCTGATATTAAAGGTAGGGAGAGTGGGATGTTTGTGAGTTAATGGTATTACAGGTGATAATTGGGGAAACTGTCTTGGTAATGGGTGAGAAAGTTCAAAGACTTGTTAAGTCCTTGTTGGTAAGTGTCGAATTTTAACATGAATGACAGTTCAGAGGATTCCCTTTCAAGTGCAGATGTAAAAGGTCTTTGTAGCAGAATGCAGGTGGCTAAGTCATTTAGAGAGTGTCCTTTCTGGTTAAAGTGGCAAGAAACTGTTTTCTCTTTGTGATCTTGTCTGATATCTGTTTTGTGGGCATTAATCCTTTGGCGAAGTGTCTGAGATGTTTGTCCAATGTACATAGCAGACGGACACTGTCGGCAAATTGATAGCATAAATTATATTTCTGGATGCACAGGAATATGTGTTCTTGATCTTATAACTCACTTGGTTAGGTCCAATAATGGTATCAGCAGAGTATCTAATAAACCATCTTGTTAGTCTTTAAAGTGCTACATAGTCCTGTTTTTTGTCTCAGAACCAATGTCCCTGACCACTCTGTGCATCACTCAAACTCTATAGTAGGGCAAGTCTCTGCAGGTGCAGGTGCTCACCTTCATTCAGGTAGGGGAGTATTCTGATGTTCCAGCAGAAGATTTCACCAATCTGGCTGCTGAAGCCAGTGGGCTTCTGCAGTAGGGAGACAGGGTGTATTTCAGCCACCCCTCCATGCTCTTGGGAAGAATGGCCACCCTGATCTATGATTTGGAGAACTGGAGGTTGCAGAGGTCATGCCAGAGTGCCTGCTGCGCCTCCAGGTGTGTGTGGAGGAATTATTCTCAACTGGATCAATATTTATGCCCTAATACCAGGCCTGAGGCGCTTCTATCAACAGGCATCCACCTTCCTCAGTGTTTTGGATCCTTGTGAATGCCTGGCTCTAGCTAGGGATTTTAACACCATTGTGGATGCACAAGACCTCATTGGGCCACTGAGGAAGTCTTCTGACAGACTGTCGTCCATCACCCCCTGGTGGACGTTTGGCATGACCACCACCACCCTTGAACAGGTGGAGGACACTCACTTGTGCTACTTGTGGTTGAACTGTTGTTGATATCTTTCCCTTTCTCATCTTGTGGGCCTATTCCTCCAGCATTGAGCCAGCCCCTTTCTTAGGCCACCACCTGGTGGCAGCAACAGCATCCTTGATTCTCAAGAGACCCTTGTAAGCAGGGCATGCCTAGGGCACGGAGCGCAGAGCGGCCAGCTGTGAACAGGCACTTGGCTGCATGTTCAGAGCAGCCAGTGGGATGCACTTTGATCTTTTATAAAAATGTAGTTGCGGGCCTCAAAAAAATGCAATCAGGCCGCATGCGGCCCGCCAGCCACGTTTGAAATGACTGCTCTAAGGTCATAGGTCAGGGATGGTGTAGATGGAGCTTGGTCCTGCCTTGAGGGCGGGAGGCTGGACTCAATGACCTCTCGAGGTCCCTTCCAGTCCTATTATTCTATGATTCTATAGTAAAATCCATGTAAGAAAACTAGAGTAAGTTGCATCAGATTCTAGTAATCTACAGGAAGGGGCTAGGGTTACCAGATGATTTAAAAAAAATACCGGATGCACTTGATCTCAGATGGGGGTGGGGACCGGCTGGGAGGGGAGTGGGGCTGGCCGGGAGGAGGTTGGCAGGGAGGAACCAGCTGGTGGGAAGCAGGGCTGGCGGGGGCGAGGGGGGGTGGGCAGAGGGGGTGGCCCCCCCGGCTGT